ACATAACTCATGCAACGTATTGAAGCATTTAGATTTATTATTTTTAATTATTTTACTTTTCAAAAATCGTATTAGTGTTTGTGGTCTTTATTATTATACGATGCTTTTTAGTTATTAAATGCTTGAAAGAAGGTCAAGTATTCATTTCGTGTTTTGTGTTTTGTTCGTTAGTCAATGTGAACTATAGAGAACGATGTGTAATACCTTTTAAAACAAAATCTTAACATAAATTATATCTATCTTTCATGAAATTTCTAAATTAAAATATTGATTTTAAATATTGAAAAAGTAACATAAATTGAAAAGATAATTCACTTACTATAATTCTAAAAATAAAAGCCACAAACTTAATCTTTTATATTTTTTAATTTAATAATTTACAATAATTCATAAAAATATATTAATTAAATTATTTGCAAAATCAATTTCGAACCTTTGGATATAATCTCGTTTTTGATAAAACGTAAATGTCATTAGAGAGTGGTTAACCTTATGAAGGATTCCAACATTAATAATAATATTACACTTGAACATGAACCAAGTTGCAAGCTTGTTAATCTCTTTAAATCATTCTCTAAAACAAGTTATTAAAATATTATTAGGGTCAACAAATTATAATACAAAAAAATGCTAAATTTAAATACTCTCCAAAAAAAAAAGTCCTAACTTTAGACACAAGTAGTTGAACAAATTCTTTTGTGTACAATGATATGTTTGACTCTTTGTTTACGTTGTACACTACAAGTTGGGTTACTAACATTCTTTTTGGGTAGAAGGAATCAGCATATGTTTAAGTACTTCAACTATATATAAATATGTGATCACACAAACTTGTTGTCAGATCATGTTTGTTACCCACCTACTCCATGAAAATCATCAACCCATAACACAAAGCACAAAATCGATTGGTCTTGTAAGATAATGAACACCATTGTTTCATGAAAATGACTTGTCCTTGCACCACAAAATCTATGACTTGTGTATTATTGTAGAGCAGATGTTTGCGATAATGTCAAGTGTGTAATGGAATATATCATAGAAGCTAAAATCAATGCTATTATGGAGTTTTTTTTTTTCATATTGTAAGGAGTGTTTGTTATCAAGAATCTGAAATCCCTTGTTTGATATCCAAAAGCTTCAAATTCTTTTATTCCACACCTAAAATAAATATCTAAGACTTGTACCAGTGTTGCCAATGTTGTTGTAACTTGTAAAATACCATTAACATTAACGGCGTTACTTTTTTCCTATTTGCTTACGTTTTCAAATTCCACTAAAATATTTAACTCCTCTAGCAAATGAGAAAATTAAAATAAAAGAAAATGTATATTTAATAAAATTTAAAACTGATTATATTCTCAAATTATTATTTTTTTAATTAATGGTTAATTATAAATGAAAAAACAAATTACGTTAACTGTAAATAGAAGTGTTAATTTGGGTTGTGATAGACCAGTCAAATTAGCTAATGGAATCTTACTCACTCAGGTCAAATGAAATGTATTAGAAAAGAGGTAGTTGGGAGTTAATCCGTTTTTTCTTAATATTTAATATTTTATTTTTTCTTATTCAGACGTAAGTATAAACATATGAAATAAAATATTTAAAATAAATAAATTTATCTAACTTATTTCTTTTAGTGAGTAAATTCAATTAATTTATATATTTTAATAATTTAAAAAAAATACACATTTAAAGAAATTAATTCTCTTAATTTATTTTTGAAATAATTTTCTAATAAAAGAATGAATTGGGTTAAGTGTATTTCACATCCCTAAAAAGTCACTTCTCATGAGAAAATTTTAGGATTTTTCGTGTATATATATATATATATATATATATATATATATATATATATATATATATATATATATATATATATATATATATATCTGTGATATATGAGATATATCGGATGTAGTAGAGATTTTATATATAATTTCATATTTTATTATATATATAATAAAATATTAAATATTAATAATATCTTAATTATAACTATTTATATAAAAGATAATAATAATATAATATTTTCTTATTGAAAATAATAATAATTTTTTAAGACTTAATTTAAATAAAAGATAATAAAATAATGTTTTTAGCAATTATATATATACAACTTGGATACTATCTTTCTTTTTTTATGTGAGTTTTTCTTTTTCTTTAATTACTTGGTAGATATTTAATTCTCTAAATAGGTTTAATGGTTTTCAGGAGTTGAAGATCGATCATCTTTCTTTTATCGTTTCTCTGATATAAAACTAATTGTATGGTGGCGATTATGCTGAAAATAATGAATCAAAAGATAACTCTGTCCACTTTCTAATTTGTTTGCTCGCGGAGAGAAACTCGTGTTTTGAATAGGCCTGTTATGAAATCCTGGAGCTGACACAATGTATTGAAGAATTAAACAGAAATTGAATCTATGATTTGAAGATAAAAATGGTATTGGAGAGATTGTAAACAATTTTTGTTCTTCTTAATTTTAGGTATATATGAGATTTTGAGTGTAACATTTTCCTATTATTAATTAGAAATTGAATTCAATTGATCTTTGAATGCTTAAATACGACACAGTAGTTTGTAGCTTTTACCATGTGTATCAGATCCATCTGCAACTGTGTGTCCACCGAAAGTAACAGTAAAAAGAATTAAGCCTACAAGAAATACCAACCTCGATCTCCTCACGTGTAACATGATCATAACGAAGAATGTTGGAGAGTAAAGTATATTTCTAGACCCAACTACTACCTGAGTATTATATGTTAACAGAGAAGTTTTTTTCCTAAATGAAGCCTCATATCATTAGTACAGACTCACATTATCTACATATGTCAGTAGCTTAATTTTGATTAGACAAAACATCTCTCTGATAAAGCCAATTCAGTGCTAATTAACAGTGAGTATGCATGTGACATTTCGTTTTTGTAACGATAAATGCAATGCTTGCGTAATGTGCTACGTTTCTTTTCTTAATCAGAGGTAACATTTTGGTGTATTCCGTCTCTGTCTACTTAATCAATGAAGCTAAAGAAAAAGAAAAGAGTAAAACTGTCATAGAAACTTCTGTGACATAAAAATTAGAGTAATTGTTGATTCAGATTTAGTTAGAGTGTTACAGAGGGATGAGTGATAATGGTGTGTAAAATGAAACGGCAGAGAAAATGGGTAATAAATGGAGTGTGAAAGACTTAGGATCCATAATTTGAAGGGACATGGTAGCTAGCTAGTTGCCCAAAAGATTTTTCCTAGGGTGACGTGACATGGTGAGAGAATATGTGCTAAAAGGACCAATATACGAAATAAGGTTCCTAATGCACATGATATTAGGGACCAAATGATGCATGTGATGGATCAAAGTTTCTTCGCTCCACTGTCATCCAAACCCTCAACAAAACAAGTTAACGTATGGATGGCGAGAGTCCACGCTTAGCCACTGCCCAACTTCATTTCATCTCTAATCCTTATCAAGCCCAAGGTCACATCAATGCTGTCATATAAACTTTCTTTCACTTGAGTTTTTGCATGTAACGAGGATTAAAGATGAATTTCGATTATAAGAATCATACGTAAATTCTTCATGTTGTTGTATCTGATATAGTTTGGAGGTGACATAAGAATTCTTTAAAAAAGGAAGAGAGTGGGGCCATATTTTGCAATGGAGAATGTGTTGATAACATGATGGACTGAGAGGAGTGGGAAGGCAATCACATGGGTGATACTACGTGATGAAGTCAGTCCACGTTACTGTTTTGGGGTCCCTCCCTCCTTTTTGATAGTTACCGGGCATTGGTACTAAATCCGTACACCACCACTTGTTTTAGGTTTGCTCTTGAACGAGGAGGTACGTGCAGCAATTCTTTTCAATTTCCTCTTTGATTTATTACCAGATTAAGAAGCCATGCACTTATCATATCCCTCACTCCCTCTAAGCCCCAACCCAACACTTCCATGAGCAAGATTCCTAGCTAGCCCACCCATGTTGCTCTAACTGACATTGTCGTAGGGAATACATCATCTCACCATATTTCACTCAATTATCATCATCAACAGTTTTCACCATTAAACAAATGCCTGACATCGGTTATACCTTTGAGGTTGGATCACAACACACGGTTCAACATTTAAGAGGGTCCATGGATTTGTCATCCAGGTCTCAGATTTACTACCCCATTTTCCAATTGCAAACAAACATTGCAGTGGGTCTTACTGGATACCCATTTCCCTCTCCTACCCACTGCCATTAGAGACTCACTTCAGACTTATAATATCCTCCAATTGTAACACTTTTTTCTTACCACAAGCATTGCCAACGAATATGAGAAAGAAAACCACTACCTCACTCTTTTCATTTCCACCAGAGAAAAGAAAAATCATGCAAGCGCCATTACAGCATACGTAACCAAATATGTCTTTCAATTTTGCTACACCATTTATTTTCCACGCAAACTTCTTCAATCAAGCAAAACTGCTATATAAAAGTAAAGTTCTTTTTAAGTTTTATATAGGGCTTGAACCCAAAGCTCAATGATTTCTGGTATTTTTTAAGACTTATTTGAAAAGAAAGTAATTACAAAAAATTAAATATGTTGTGAATGATTTGACGTCATTATATGCTAATTGGGGTCCACTGTTTCGGTTGTAAATTATAGATCCATGGCATGACTAACTTTTCCTTCCATTGTCTTTTTTCTTGAGTCTGTTACGCTAATCATAGTTTGTAATTTTGCTGTCAACCAATAGTATGCTTTCGGGGCATTCTAGGAACAGGAAAAGGCAAATAAATAAACAAAACAAAACAGAAACACTGAACCTACAATAAAATTAATAAAAATAAAAAAGAAACAAGCACCACTGAAGGACGATGTCCAATATAACTAATAACTATAATAACTAACTAGCATTAGGACATTCTGAAATATGAAGCAATGGTGTTCTTCCAATCCTAAAAGGAAAACGAAACAAGAGAGAAAGAAGGGATAATAGCAGTAAACGAAATTCTATTCAGAGACAGAGAGATAGAGAGGGAAGCTCAAATTAGCCAAGACATCACCAAAAATATCTCTTTTCCCACTTTCCTTGCAACTGCTTGGTCTGGAAAACTTTTTCACTCCCATCTCATCCTCCACGTTCTCAACAGACTCCTCATCTGTCCCACTATCCTCCGCACCACACTCTTCTTCTCTGTTTTCCTCATATTCATTTTCTTCTTCTTGCTCTTCAACACCTTCCTCATCATCACAAACTTCATCTTCGCTATCCGAAAACCTCTCATACAAACACAGCCTAAGCCTACCATCTTCGCGCTCAGCGCGAAAATAAGGGCGATTCGAAGGAGAAGCCACAGCTTGCAATATCAGCCTTCCTCCTTCGCGACGAGGCCGGACTTGAACGCCACCCAAGTCAGAAATTGTGGTAAGTGGCGGTGGAAACTTGGAAGCACGGTTCACCCTTTTGGACTTGCAACTTGTAACAGCAGTAGTAATATCAGTAGTAGTAGTAGTAGTATTGCTGGTGAAACATGTGCTGGTGTCAAAAGAGAACAAAGAGATGTCATCGGTTCTTTCGCCAGCATTGCTACCGGTCTCGCTGCCGAGGCTTTCGGTGCACATTTCCAAGCTTTTGTCACTGAGAAATGAGGAGGAGCGTTTAACAGCAGGGGGGACGTAGACAGCGTCCTCTGTTTTGTCGGGACAGTGGGAAGAGAGTGAGAGAGTTTGAAGGATACTCCAGCTGCTACCATCTTTAGATTCTGAGTCGTTTTCATCACATTCGTAGTTGGTGAGTGGTTTTTCTAGGGAGTCAGAGAGAGACGAAAGTGAAACTGTGTTTGTGTTGGTGTTGTTGTTGTTGGTAGTGGTGGGAGAGGGTTGAGAAAAATTGGATCCTTGTTGTAGTGCGAGTTTGAGGCTGAGCACACGTGGCTCCATCACGCGGGGTTCGAGACAAGACTGCAATCCTTGGCGAAGACTAGAGGAAGACATTTTTGCTTGTCAACACTCAACAGTGAAAATGTGAAAAGCAGAGGAAAAGAACAGGGGAAAACAGGGGGGTGAAGGTGAGTGGGGATTTTACAAGAAGTTTGGAAGAAAGGGTGTTTGAGGAAAAGACATGCTTACTGGGTTTTTGGATGAAATTGAAAGTGGGTTGATTCCTTTGAAACGAGAGAAGAGAAGAATGGACACGAAGATGAAGAGAAGTGAAAAGAGTGGGTCTGAATATATAGTTGGCAACGGTAAAGCTATCCTTCGTAACTTTATTTGGTTAGTGCGGATAGGGTCCTATTCCCTAACTACAGAAAAGTGAAGATAAATAATCTTCAAAAAGATATAATATCATAATAATTTTATGATAATAACAATAAAATAAAATATAAATTTATAAATTCTTAATATTAAAAATTATGATAACCCATATCAATTTTATTATTTTTAAACTAATTTTTTCGCTTTAACACCAAATTCGCCCTTGAATAATATACTATATTATTTATTTATTTTATATCACAATTTAATAATAATAATTTATATTTTTCAAATAACTAATAGAATAGTGTTTTCTTTAAGGAGGCGGTTGGTATCAGAAAAAGAAAATTCATATCCAGAAATCAAAATCGTATATGATTACAAAGAATAAGGAAGTCTGTTCCTAAAAAAATTTAAAATTATATAAATTATGATTCTTAGAAATAACTTAAGTTTATTTGGTTGGAAACAATATTTCTAAAAATATTCATATAATTTTTCTTAAAATAAAATATTTAATATGTTATTTTTGTAAAAACTTTTAATATATTCTCACTTAGAATAATTTAATCATAGTAATGTGATTTTCTTTAATCAATTATTTATTTTTGGAAAGCATGAGTTCCTGATAAATGTATTTATTTAAAAGGTAAATTAAAAGTAGAAAGCATACTATTTTAATCTCAGATTCTCGAAAAGTAAAAAATAAAAATAAAAAACCGTATACATATATATCAAACATAGTGCAGGAATTTAATTTTTATTGATATATAAGCTTATATATTTTTAATATTTTTATGATTTCGACAATTATTTAGAATTTCTTAATAATTATAAGAAAAATAATTAGACTTTATAATTTGATGATAATATTATTTGATAGTGTAAAAGTGCATGTTTAGGAAGGTTTTAATAAGAAAAAATTAGTATTTAAGTGTTCATTAGTGAATCTTTTCTAATAACTTACTGTTAGGTATTTTGGAGAGGGCTAACAACAAGGAGATTCTCACAAATGGGTTTGATGAGTTTTTTTCACTTATAAGTTACTTAACTTTTCCACTTTTATTCAATGTGAAACTTCAAACTCACACTTGAATTCTCAATACTTACCTAGTATACTTGGTTCACGGTCTACTTGTTGTTCCAGTAGACAATATTATTCATAGTGAAGATTGCATAAGTCGGTTTGGAACCATGAGTCAGTGGCGGATCTTAACCATTGATCTTGGGAGGGCAAAATAATATATTATTAATAAATAATAAATATAAAAAGAAGAAAGAAGATGAAAGGGTGAAATGATAAAATTGTAGATATATACTTAAATATATTAAATAATCATTAAGTATGAGAGAAAAAAAATCATAAATTATATTACATGAGAGTTACAAAACTAAGGAGGGACTGAGAGGATAAAATTGTAAATATACAAGTAAATATATTAAATTTTCATTAATTTTGGGGGGGCCAAAATCATAAATTATATGGGAGTTACAAAACTTGGGGGGGGCACGACCCCCCTCAGCTCCCAAGAAAATCCGCCACTGACCATGACAACAAAATATGAGATAGAGAAGTTTAATGAGAATAATTTCTCATTGTGAAAATTGAAGATAAAGACAATATTGAGGAAGGACAATTGTATTGATGCAATTATGGAAATAACCGTGGAACACACATATGAATGATGATGAAAAGAAATGAACGACAATGCTATTGCGAATTTGCACTTATTAACGACAAATTCGATTTATTCAGTGTTGTAGAGAAGACTACTCCGAAGGAGATTTGTGATACCCTCATTAAACTATACGAGGTGAAGTCACTTTACACAAGAATATTCTTAAAGAGAAAACTTTGTACTCTTCAGATGAGTGAGTCCACATCAGTGGCGAACCACATTAACCATTTGAATACCTTGTTTGCCTAATTATCAGCGGTAGATTTCAACATAGTTGAAAATGAATATGTAGAGCTTCTACTTCAGAGTTTACTTGATTCATATGATCAACTCGTCATCAATTTTACAAATAATAATATTTGTGGGAATATGCATTTTGAGGATGTCACCGAAGCTATTCTTGAAGAAGAATCTAGGCGAATGAATAAGGGCGAAAATTCCAAACAAGGAGAGTCTTTGACGATGACGTGAGGAAGATTAATGGAACGTGGCTCAAGTCCCATTTGTGACAACCTCCCTATTATTAGTCTCATGGAAAGACCTAACAGTGGTATAAGAGCCGGTGAAATTCAAGTATGAGTTTGAAGTCTCATATTGGGTAGAAATGAGAAAGTTGAGTAACTTATAAGTGAAAAACACTCATAACCTAATGCCTTAAAGTTTTTGGTTGAATGCGATATCATATTCATTTATATTTATATGAGTGACTCGACTCCCATTTGTAAGAATCTTATTATTGTTAGCCCATTGAAAAGACCTAATATTTACAATTGAGAAAATTAGGAAAATTGATAATATATATATTTAACTTTGTAACGTATTGGAGGATAAATAATATTACGTGCATAATTTAATTCTTATTTATAATATATAATTAGAAAAATAGAATTTCAATCTTTAATCCTCTAACATGTTATATTTTACCTCTAAACTATTTATCTTATTTTTATTTACAATATTTATAATTAAAATATTAGGAAAAACGAGTATGTAAGTTTTGTATAATAATACATTAGAAGTTTCATACTTTATAATAAATACTATTAACGTACATAATTTAATTATTTATTAAAATGAAATCAAATAACTCCACATTTCTTTACATATAACTTTATAGCAATTGTTTTAAGTATTTATTTTTTATAAATGATTTTTATAATTTTATAGTATTTATGATTAAATAAAAAAATTAAAAAAACGTAATTTTGTATATATTCAAATTTTGTTAGCATAATATATTGAATTTTTTTTATACAAAAAAAATATTACTAATATCCATAATTTAATTACTTAGCACAAATAAGTTAGATTAAATGAAATCAAATTATTCAAATGCAAGTGATAACATCTTTTTCATGCTTAGCTTTAGTATTTATAATTTGTATAAGGGTATATATTATCTGTGAATGGGAGCAACCAATAAATTATAATTGTTAGAATATAAAGAAATTATATTTTATCTTTTAAGTATTTTGTATCGAAGTGGAAATGAAGTAAAAGATTTGTTTTCAATAAAATCTACTGTTTCTCAAAATTTGGCTGAAAATGAAGTAACAGGAATAATAAAACCAATACATAATAATTGGAGGGAAAGGTCAAATGAATATAAACCATGTCATTTACCAACTATTTTTAAAGCTGAATTAAGTAGATTTTGTTGTGGCTCAAAGAACTATAATATCACATATATGATTCTGTTCATACATGACTTGTGCAGAAATCGAACTTTATATATACTTATAGACTAAGTGAAATTATCATATTGTAAACCCTGAGACAATTTCATTAACCAACTAATACTAGAAATTAACCTGTTAAGTGAGAATTCCCAATTAGCTCTATATTTCATATATCTGATTGGACCAAGAAAGTTAAAGCACTAGTCTGTAAGTAGTAGAAGAAGCGTCCAAATAAATAAGGTATATGTACATATTATAGGTGGGGAATGAACAGTGTTGTTTGGTGAAGGATATTGCATGGAGATAGTGGTGGTCTATTACAATGCTAAGAATGGCTTGTCTTCATAAACTAGTTAATTTGCTGCCTCAGAAAATAGAAGGCCAGTGAGGAAAAAGACACACTGACAGAGTATTCTATCTGTTTGTCAACTGAACTTCCCTGCTTTACCTCCTGATTATTGCGGCCATAGGTCTAGTGTGACAATGCCATTACCATCTTTATCTATACATACACAGAACAAATTATTTACATAAAAGAGAAAACAACTGCTATTACTATATATAATACAGTCATACTGGGAGTAGTATCCCAAGGCAGCACCTATAATCCATCTTTGTCTCTCAACACTTCAATTATTATCATTCTATCGAAACCTCACTTAATATTCTTTTTATCTGTGTACCAAGAATATCTTCAACTGATAAAAGTAAGTTTCTTCTCTTAAAAAAAAAAAAAAAAAAAAGAACTTTCTATTTGTGTTGTTAATAATTCCTGATCAAATGTATAAAAAACTCAGTTATTTACCAACCGTAACTCTGTCATGCTTTATTACGTTTTTGGTTTGTTGTAATTTCTTTAATGGGGATACTGATGGTAACGAATCATTGACATGCCAAAGGAATGGATACTAAAGCATGAATGTTTGAATAATCCTCACTTTGATGTCTTCTAAGCTAAGAGGTGTCTCAACTTTTCTTGACTTTTTTACTCCATCATGAAGTTTACAACACACTCTTCAAACTTAGTATATAGCTATTGTATATTTCTGGTCAGAGAAAAGGACAGCATCGTTTCGTCACTTTTTCCTCCTTGTCTGATGCCTTTCATATCGGCCAAATCTCTTACAAATGTCAAGACTGTACGAGAAATGTTTATATTAGTTGCTTACAGCATTGAAGATTCGATCAACTATTTTGCAAAACCACATGGTCATCAACACCAGTATTAAGTTGATGCAGTAAAACTAGATTTAAACCTGTTAAATAAGATCTCAGATTCAAATATTATAGATGTAAATTACTTATAAATGAAACTAGTACGTACTTTATACTTAGAACATGATAGTCTTGGCTTTGCTTAATATCTAGTCCTAGTTAAACTTTAGTCTCATCCATGTTAACTTTCTTAACAAGTGATGAAAAAGACTTGCACAAGGAAGGCACATGGTAATCTCCAAATTTGTTGGCTATCACTAATATATGGACCTTGAGGAACTTATCATGCACACAAAGAACGTGGAAAGTAATGCAAAGTTTGGTTAAAAAATATCTGAAGCCATCACGTTTTCTTTCCTCTTTACATAGTAAGGTAGACGAGAGCATATATGAATCTGTGGATTCAGAAAACTCCACATGCAAATTCACTGGAAATAATTTCTTGAGTCTCGATCTATATAAGTAGTGTGTAATAATGCTGAATTGTATCCTCAGACGCTGTAGCGTGCATATGGGGTATCACGGTAGAAGAAAGTTGCCCACTTTGCACCCACACATACACATGGATTCACACACAAACTAAAAAGAACAAGTTTTGTGGAAGCGCCCCTTCCACCACCATGCAACAACTTATTCCACCTAGTAATTGGAGCTAATTAATAACCGGTGAACCAAACTTTTCACCCAAGAAATTAATTGGTTAAAATACAACAATGATATCATGCAACTTCTCTTCCACAATTTTTATCAGTTTATAAAATATTGCTTAAAAAAATATTTAGTTATTATATTGACGAAGTTATTAGAAATTATTTGAATCAGAATCTTAATTAATCTAATATTAGCTATGAAGATCTTGATTATTTCTTGAAAATTATATTCTAAATTAATCTTACTGACTAATTTGATTACTTTAGTGACGAATAGTTTAGTTTTTAATTATCCTTAGGCTAGCTTCGATTCGAGATATATATTGGCACTGAGCACGTGATAACTTGCTTTTGACATGCTATTGTAGAACCAGTACCAAATTACTAACCATGGTGCATGTAGCAACAATTGAGTACCAAATAAAATTAAGCACGAACGTACCTAATCAGGTGTCTGGTCACACATCAGTTTACAGTCATGAGATGGCAAAAAATGGAAAACATTTGTTAACAATAATTTTCCACGTCCAACATGAACAACATATATTAGTTTGATCGGTTATAAATGTGGTCCCCTTTAACGTTGCAAAACTACTTGGTAGCATTAGTTATCAGACATGGATGACGTAGAATAACAATTATACAGTACCAATCTTAGTTTTGAGACAAATAAAATGCAGTATATGGAGAAATCTTACTCCAGAAAAGGAGAATATGTGTATAAATGCTTGAACCGGGGAAGGCAAGTAAACGGGGCCTAACACTCATTGCTGATTTTGGTGCATCACATTTCCTAGCTAATTTCTCTGTATATTATGCATTCCACGTTACAGAAATTGGAAATCATAAGGCAAGGTTGGAAGAGGGTCGAGAGAGAGGAATATGAGAAGGGAAATAAAGGAGGGGACAAGAATATATGCGCCTTCCACACATGAAAAGCTAGGTCATTGACCTAACCATCCAATGCTTTTGGATATATAATCCACCTTGTACTTTGCAATTCTTCTAAATTGGCCAATCGAGTGAAACCTTTATCAGCAAAAATTAATGCGTGTATTTCTTTTAAAGTGTAAAGAATGTGAAACCTTAAATTCTAGCTAGGTCTCACTATGCTCCTTCTATGTTAGTGTGGCTCGTTTGCTCAAGCACACATTTATGAGCTTTTCAAGGAAGAAAGGCAATGGATTCTCTTGTATTAGTCAAACTATTATTGTTAACCAGGAGCTACGACTATGGAAGTTGAGTTTTGGGTTTTGACCATGCTAGTGCAACAAAGCAAAGCACAGACCAAAAAGGAAACTAAAGATGCATTGATTCGATTTATGCGTTAACTATGGATGGTGGAAATGTCATTTTCGACACAATATTGACTTTAACCTAATCTCAAACCTCTTAAAACAGCACTCAATGCTTAGATTGAAGATAAGAAACATCATCATTTCCTTACTTCTACAAATATGAAGAAAAAGATTGCGAACCAGAATATCAGTTTTGTGGCATCATGACTTGCAAAACCCACGCTTTTTAAAAACTTTAGATTGACGAGACAGTTTTTTCCTTCGTTTAATCCAATGAATTAAAAATGTAGTGCGATCGTCAATTTTTGGAATCCCTAAATTTTAACTTTTAGCTTTTGGCCCCTTACATCATCAACCTTTTGGCTTTTACTTTTTGTAATTAAAATTAATTATTTAAAGATTTTACCTTATTCTTTTCACATTAATTCAGTTTCCACTTGTAAATGTAGGTACACTATATGTTATGCATCCTATTATCATATTTATTCTTCGTATCAATGAGCAAATGCTTTTTTTTTTAAGTGTGTCAATAATATCATGTAAATTGATATTGATGTAAAACCAAATATGTTGAAATTTGTGTACATACTAAAAGAACTTTTTTATATAGTTAGGTATTATTAGTGCAAAAAAAATTATATATATTTTTCTCGGACGAATTAGTAACTATATGACTAAAAAAATATGTTTTTAAAATTAAAACAATTTTTTTCACGTCAGACAACAATAAGTACTATCCCTGAACTTTTACACGTTCACTCAGTTGAAATCTAGAGAGCTTAGAGAGAAGGAAGGGATCCTCAATTTGGAAGATTTGAATTTCCACCATGAAATCATCAAGCAAGTTCATGGGGATAAAAAATTGGTCAAGCCTAAGCATGAATTCTCTCTCGTCCACCACAATCACCTAGACGATGAAGAAGAGAAAGACAAAGCGGATATAGATATATGAATTGTGCATTGTGAATAAGAAAGTAGTTGACAGTATGTGATAGTATACGAAGTGAATATATAAGTGATTTTCCCATAGATCACATTCTGTTTTAATTAAATAAATAGATAAAGTTTTTGTATGACATGCATTCAGTTTTACGACACAGCAGATAATAACTCTATTTTGAATGTTACGTCAGAACAGCTTTCTAAACCTCATCTTGAAGGGGTGAAAGGAATGGATGGATACAGCTTTTTATATGGAGTGGCTCAGTAATAATTCATTCTCACAGAAAGTGGTTTAAAATAGTATGCATAAAGAAGAGGTTACAAAGCCGAAAGAAAGGCAAAAGAATACGTGAGTAAGATTTCATTCACAGGTCTTCAATTTTAAAAATTTGGTAACCTACTCGGCCCAAAGAGTTTTCTAACCCATTTATACCCTATTTTATCAATTAACTAATTCAATTTTACTGTTATGATAATAAATAATATAAATTAAAAAATAAAACTTGATAATAAAAATTAAATATTTTTACTTAATATGTTTTATATGTTGATCTTCTAACAGATTCCATTAAAAAGAAACATACTTATATGAGTCTCATTCTTAATTTATTTTTAATCTAAAATCTTAAAACATTAAATTATTAATTTTTTTAATATTACTTAATTTTCTCGATCTTATATAAAGGAAACTTAAAATTAAATTAACAAATAGCCTATACTATTTCCTCTTCTTTGTTCTTCCTAAGTAACTTGTGCAACAATGTTCTTAATTATTTTAAATTCGTAAGATAGTTTATTAACACCTGGACAATACTTATATAAAATGAACATTTTTTAAGATTATTGTTACACAACAAACTAAACAAGTTATTAATTCTACCAATTTTAAAATAATAATAATTATTATTATTATTATTATTAGAGTATAAATTTTAATTTTAACTGAATTTCTTAGAAATACTGCTTTATTTTTCTTAAACATAAGTGTTTTTAAGAGTTAATATTGTAACTCTCCTTTAGTTATATATTTGATCTCTTTCATTTATTAAGTATTTAATTTTAAATTTTATTCCTTTCAAATATACTTATTAAATTCATATTCAAATTTAGTTTGATGTAATAATTAATTATTTTTCTCTGTATTCAGTTTCTTTTTTTTATATGTATTTATACTTGATATTTCTAAATAATTGTCTTTTTTAATTTATATTTAATATTTTTCTAAATGTTGTATATAAATTTGTGTACGTGTGATTTAATTTTAATTAAAATCAACTGTATAAATTTCAAAAACTGAATTAATTCATTCAATTTAATAATAAATTTCATTTTCCTTTTTTATTTGTTTATTTTTCTATTTTCAAATTTTTAAATATTTTATTACATTATACTATAAAAAAGGGGAATTAAAAAAAAGAAAAGAAATATAATTATAATTTAATTCCCTGGTTCCATGCGTGCTCAGTCCTTAATTGTTGGACTTTTGAACCATTTATGGTTTGCTGCACCAAATCCCAATACACTTACTGTGAGATGCAGGTGACCATTTATAGGTAGCGTCTTCTATTCTTTCCGTCTATTCTACTTCCTCACAGCGATTAAAGAAAAATGGGTCGAAAACGTTCTTCGAGAAGCACCGATAGAGCTCACGTTATGGTATTCTTAAGTTCATGTTTGTGTACTCTTCCTCTTCTATTCGTCATGCTTTAACTTTCTCTCTAATGATAATAGATTCTGTTTCTCTGTTTTCGTTTTGTTGTAACATTTCAAAAGCTTCTCTGTGCGCTTGCCATGTTTGCTTTCATAAATGGTGTTCCTATTATTGCTGTATTCCTATGGATTTTTTTTATTTTATTTTTTTGCCTTGAATGTTGTCTGCATGCATTGATTTAGAGTTTTGGTTTGATTGGTTAGGGTTTAAAATAGATGGATACATATTAGTTTGAAATAGTGTGTCTAAGGAAAATAAGGAAAGCTTGAAATACTTGCATTCATGGGTATGATCAATTTATTACTCACACCCTCTCTATGGAGAAAGGTTGTTTTTTGTTTCTTTATTATTTTTAGAGAGATTCCTTTGTTGTATAAGACAATCACGATGCTAGGAATCTAGTGAATCTTTTAAGTAGTTTTTTTTTTTTTTTTTTTCAGTTTTTAAAAAAATTATTAAAACTTTATTACTTTGTAATGTCCAAGTGATAGTATCAGAGTATACAATGATTTCTTAATTTTGCAATCTCTTTCTAAAAAATGTTTTCAACTTTAAGTTGATATTTTAGCTTGTCTTGGTTAAATGTGTGTCAAATGTCCAGGTTTGGTTCTGCTTTCTATCCCTGATGTGCATCACGATAGAGGTTTCTGTGCTTCGGTATTCTTGTTTGTTGTGATTTTGACTTTCAACGTGCTTATTTTATGTGTACAAACGGAGCAGAAAGAATCATATTTATTTCCTAACTAACTACTAATTCTTTTTCGTTGAAGCCTAATGTTTCCAATGGAATCTTACAATTGCTTGGGGTGTCAAACTCTCAGCATGATATCCAACGCCCTGGGTTTTCATCAAAGAAGCATCCAAATTTGTTGTTGGATGAATTGAAAAGGCCTCATGAAAAAAGTCCAACTAGGGAGAAACCAAACCAGGATCAAGGATCTCAAAAGAAGCCTATTACTAAGAAAAATTCCAAATATTGTGGTACATATGTGAGGCGATCAGAACGCATTAAAAGTGCAATTGTTTGTTCCCCCAAAACCAACTGTGGCATTGAAGTCATTGAGGATATACCTGTTAGTGATGTTGAGAAAGATGAATTAGATACTCAAGAGGAGCAAGTATTGGGAGGACCAGAGTTGGTGCTGGAGCTGCCACAGAAGCTGGAGTCAGAGTCAGAGCCAGAGCTTGAAGAAATTTTGGGTGAGAAGAGCTTGGATGAAAAGGTTGACTCTGCCTTACATAGAATAGATGCCCTTGATAAGACCGTGGAATGGTTGAAATCCAAGGTATTTGTAAGTCTTTCTAAATTCAAGATTCAAGACTCCTTGCCATTGTTATTTTTGTTGTGATTGTGGCTTGTCTCAGTTGTTTTTATGCTGAATACATAACAGGTGGATGAAACTTTTGGCTTTTATGAAGCTCCATCAATGGCACCTACAGGTTACAAGAGCATGTACATTGACTCACAGAAGAAGGTTTTTTCTCTTTTTTCCAATTAATGCATCTTTTAAGTTTATCCTCTTTGTTTTTGGTATGATATTGTTATCGTCTATTTTGTGTTGTTTATTGCTTACATATATATGCAGATTGAAGCTTTGACAGAAGAAAATCAACGACTAAATGGAAAGCTGGCAAATGCTCTGGGCAAAATAGAAGTGGTATGTTGCAACATTATTATTGTAGTGTCCCTTGATCTTGATTCGTTTTACAGCACAAGATATTTGTATTCAATATCATAATCTCTCGGAAAAATAGTTTTTCCTTTTCTTTTTCCCTGACATTGGTTATCTCTATCGTGAATCATAACATGTTTAAAAGGAAAACAACTTATATTCATTGATTTGAAGAAATATATTTTTCCATGAGCAGTTGTTTGGTATTAACAGAATAATAGCCCAAATCAATACAGGCCAATTGTTCTCATATATCCCAATAAGCCCATTCTAGCTCTTGTAAATATCTCCCCATGTAATTTTTTCTGTTATAGTAGATTCTAGAACATCTTTCTTGTATATAACATTGTATGATTTGCTCAAAGAAATGTACGTTTTTATTCATTCACAAATCATTACCTTAGTGTCCAAAATATCTCCTATTTTGTTTTTATTCGTTATATGTCCGCCTATCGTCCTCCCATGTCTTCAACACCTCCTTCTAGTCCAAAGAAAAACGATCCTTCTAGGTTTCGTTTTAATGACCCATTGCTCAACCCCTCAAGTCCTTATTTCATTCATCCTAGTGATGGTCCTTCTTTTGTGTCCATTACTCCTGTGCTTGATGGAACAAATTATCATTCTTGGTCTCGTGCTTTCCGTATGGCCCTCGTCTCCAAAAACAAAATGGGCTTCCTCCTTCGCACCATATTGGTTCCTTCTATCATTGAACCTCTTTACCCTGCATGGGAAAGATGCAACACTCTCATCATGTCCTAGTTTTTGAATTTGCTTTCCCCTTCCATTGCCCAAAGCGTCATCATCTTTAAATATGCTACGAACATTTGGAATGACCTTTGCGAACATTTTTCACAGGGGAGATCTTCTCCGCATTACAGAGCTCCAAGAAGAAATATATGGTCTCACTCAAGGTAATAAATAGTTTTGTCTCTGAGTATTATCCTTCCTTGAAAATCCTATAGGAGAAACTAGATAATTGTCATCCTTTCGTTACCTGTTCCTGTGAGGCCAACAAAAGCCATCAGAAGGACTTTGTCATTCAATGCTTGAAAGGCTTAGATGAATGTTTTTCTGTTGTGCGTTTCCAAATTTTGCTTATGGATCCTCTTCTAGCAGTCAATCGAGATTTTTTCATTGTTGTTCAACATGAACATCAACTCAATGTTGCTCCTTCCTCTGTTGAACCCAATAGCTTCATCGACTCCTCCAATGCCTTCGGTAAAGGTCGTGGTATGCCTGGTTTGTCGTCCACCAAAAAAGCCTCTAACAAAAAGTGTTCTTACTGTCATTGCACCGAACACACCATCGACGTTTGTTGGGGGAAGCATGATTATCCACCGGGTCATCCTTGTTACCCTGGTCGCCCTCAATTCAACAACCGCACTAACAACACTGCTTTGGTCAACTTGGTAAAGGGACCAATTGCTTCTTCAAACCAGTCACTTTGACCCAAGCTCAATATCAATCTCTAATGGCTTTGATTCATCAGCCCAATACTGCTTCTGATGATATGGGAAACAACCTTGTCCAGCCCAATAGCGTCAACCTCACTCACTCAAGTCCCTTTTAATCAAATAAATGGTCCTGGTGCATCATTTGTTTTCAGCAACACTACACACAACACTTCTTCCAGCACCCACAAGCACAGTGTGCCCTGGATCATAGATTCAAGAGCCACAGATCACATTGCATCCCCTTTAACATGTTTTTCCAGTTATTCCAAAATAAATCCCATTCAAATCAATTTGCCAAATAAATCCCATTCAAATCAATTTGCCAAATAAATCCATTGTCATTGCTTATATTTATGGAACCGTTATTTTTTCTCTAAATTTCATTCTTCATGATGTCTTCTTTGTTCTTGAGTTTCATTTCAATCTTTTGTCTATACCTAAGTTATTTGCGACTCGCAAGTTTACTCTAATCATTAATGATTTTTCTTGCTCCATACATGACAAGCATTCGTTGCAGATGATTGGTTTGGCTAATCTAGAGTAAGACTTTCCTTCGATTCCCAATCCAAACTCACCTTCGACACCCAATCCATCACAATCAAAACATCACTCGAGACCCAGTCTAGACTTCCCTTCGATACCCAATTGAAGCTTACCACCACAATCGAAACGTCCCTTGACACCTCTAGATTTACCAATCAAAACAACCCTCGATATCTAATCGAAACATACCATCATCATCAAACCATAGCCTCACTCTTACACCTACTCCCTTTGTCCCAAGACACCATAGAACCCAATGTTCACCTCAGAGATTATATTTGTAGCATCGAGATGAAGCCAAATGAATCATCATCAACATGCTTGTATCCTTTCAAGTTTGTTATGCATTATCATAACATCTTTGAATTTGAGCGTCACTACATAATGAATTTGTCCTCCAAGGTTGAACCTCGAAATTATCAAGAAGCAGTTTTGAGCCCCTGTTGGATTGAAGCCATGAAAGATGAAATTGAGGCTTTAAAACTCAATAACACCTAGGAAATTGTTGATACTCTAGTTGGGTGTTAAACCTATCGAATGCAAATGGGTATACAAAATTAAAAAAAAAACAAGATGGAAGTGTGAAATGCTACAAAGCACGATTAGTTGCAAAAGATTTTTCTCAAATAGAAGAAATCGATTTTTTCGAAACATTCTCTCTCGTGGTATGTCCAAAGAGGTTTATATGTCAATTCCTCAAGGATTACAAGGCCATGGCTCTTCTTGGAGTTGCAAACTCAAAAAATCTCTATACAGCCTCAAACAAGCTAGCCGCAAATGGTATGAAAAGCTTTCTAATCTTCTTGTTTCATATGGTTACCAACAATCACATGTAGATCATAGTCCATTCATTAAACACCACGTAGATGAATTTACAACTATGCTAATGTGGATGATATTGTTTTAACTGGAAACTTTGTTGATGCAATAGCCTAAATCAAACATGTTCTTCATTCAAATTTTCGAATTAACTGGGAGCATTGAAATATTTTTTGAGCCTTGAAATAACTCACTCTGCCGATGGTATATATGTATCACAACATAAATATTGTCTTGAATTGCTTGTCAGTTGTGGAATGTTGGGCTGCAAACCTTGTTTCACGCCTATGGACAATTCATTCTTGTTGCGACAAGATGATTCTAGTGATAACAAGTTATTGCTTCTTCATTAGAAACTCTCTAGTATCATGGAAAACAAAAAAGCGAAATACAGAGTCCCGTTTGTCTTCAGAAGCAAAGTATTATGCTCTTACTACAAGTACATATGAATTGCAGTGACTCACATATCTTCTCAATGACCTAAAAACATGTTGTTCCAAACCTGCAACATTATATTGCGACAATCAAAGTGCACTATACATTGCATCCAATCCAATGTTTCATGAGAAAATAAAACACTTAGAAACTAATTGTCATTTTGTTTGGGAAAAGGCTCAAGCATGTCTAATGCGGTTATTACCAATTCCAGCCTCTCACCAGCTTGCTGACATGTTCACAAATGCATTACCGCCTCATCTCTTCAAATCTTATGTATCCAAGTTGGAGTTGATTGATCTTTATTCAACTCCAGCTTGAGGGAGGCTAACAGAATAATAGCCCAAACCAATACAGCCCAATTAGCTCATTCTAGCTCTTGTATATATCTCCTCATGTAATTTTTTCTGTTACAGTAGATTCTAGAGCATCTCTCCTGTATATAACATTGTATGATTTGCTGAAAGGAACGTCCCTATTTATTCATTCACAAATCATTACCTCAGTGTCCAGAATATCTCCTATTTTGTCTTTACTCGGTATAAATATTTCTTTCATTAACTGAATTTCTAGTTCACGAGCTAGAATATTAGGAAAAGAAAGGTTGCACTGAGTTAGAGGACAGGCAACCTCCTAAAGAAAATAACAAGAAGGGAATTGAGGGTAAAAATATTCTCCCCATTTCATTTCATACCAACAGATATATAACAGAAGAGATTCTAACAATCAATATGCATGGTCCATGACCTCACTACAGACAATTCATAATAACTGACTTACTTCTAGAATATGCTAACACATGCAAATAAACATTTACTAATAATAAATAAATCCTGGAATCCCTTTAGATTTGTGGATTTGTCTTTTAGGCCTGGTATCCTCATTTTCTTCAGTATTAAGTGGGCCTTCATATGTAACATCACCATCCCCATCGGCAGCAACCTTGTCCTCAAGGTTATAAGTAGATTGAAGGTTGGACCACCCTTCCCATGAAGTATCGTCGGGAGAAAGACCTTGCCACTGGACCAAGGCCATGCGTGTTGGGACTCCATTGACCATAGCAGTCTTGAAACCCAGAACAGTTAGTGGGGTTACTAAGGGATGATTGGCATAAGAGTTTGGGGGAAGAGAGTCAATGGTGCTAGGGGGAATACCCACATGAGCCTTCAAAACTGAACTATGGAAAACATTGTGGATCTTGGAAGTGGCGGTAAGTCAAGTTTGTAGGCAACTGGTCCAATTTTCTCTATTATGCGATAAGGCCCATAAAAACGTTTGGACAACTTATGAAACTTGGCACCTGAAAGTGATGATTGACGATACGGTTGGAGCTTAACATAAACCCAGGATCCCACCTCAAAACTGAGTTCTCTGCACTTCAAGTCTGCATTCCTTTTCATCCGTTTTTGGGCTTTCAACAGATTATGCCGCAGGAGTGAGAGAACTTCTTCACGTGAGGAGAGTAATGAATCACAACCAGCAACTTGAGAGGTGCCAGCCAAATACTCAGGAATGGAAGGAGGTGGCTTGCCGAATATGATTTGGAATGGAGGGAGCTCTGAACCAGAGTGAACGGAGGTGTTATAATGGAACTTAGCCCAAGGGAGGAATTTGAACCAATGTTGTGGTGTCTCATGAACAAAGGCTCGGAGGTATTGTTCAATTGTGCGATTCATAACCTCCGTTTGACCATCGGTCTGAGGGTGGTATGATGAACTCATGCGGAGAAGGGTACCACTGAACTTGAACAAGTCTGACCAGAATCGGCTCATAAAAATTGGATCTCGATCTGAAACAATGCTCTTGGGCAACCCATGATGCTTACAGAACATAGAAACAAAGAGCTCAGCCACCTTATAAGCTGTGAAAGTGGGAGGCAGAGCACCCAAATGAACCCCTTTTGAGAACCGATCCACTACCACAAAGATAACGGTATAACCATGAGAGAGAGGTAACCCAGTAATAAAATCCATAGTAATGTCCTCCCACACATGTGAAGGAATAGGAAGGGGAACGAGGAGACCTCCGGGGCGCTTGGTACTGTATTTTGTTTGCTGGCAAACTCTACACTAAGAGATAAAAGAGCGAACATCCTTTGCCATATTGCTCCAGTAAAAGTTGGCAGAGAGACGTTTAAAGGTCTTGTTCATACCTGCATGTCCCCCAACGGTAGATTCGTGGAATTCTTGCAAAAGCAGAGTGATGAATTTAGAAGAGGAACTCAACCAAATCTTGCCCTTGAATAGAATAAGACCCTCCAACACTTTGAAATGAGGCATTGAAGCGGGGTCAGCGATACACCACTGCCGTAGGGAGAGGAATTTTGTGTCTTGTAACAAGGATTGTATCAAGTCATCTAAGAAGGCAAATTGAGGCACAATGAGTACCTGTAATTCGCCGACTACTGGTCCAGTGGATCGGGAAAGAGCGTCGGCAACCACATTCAGTTTCCTGGGTTTGTACTGAATTTCATAGTCATAGCCAAGGAGCTTGGCCAAGTAATACTGCTGCTCTGGGGTCTGGATGACTTGAGTGAGGAGTTCCTTGAGGCTTTTCTGATTTGTTTGAATTATAAAGGAGGAACCCAATAGGTATTGGCGCCAACGTTTCACTGCACTAGTGACAGCATGAAGTTCCCGAATATAGGCCGATGTCTTGGTTATACGCGGACAAAAGACCTTGCTAAAATAGACAATGGGGTGAGAGTCTTGGACCAGAACCGCACCCATTGCTGTACTCGATGCATCAGTCTGAATGAGGAAGGGCTTAGAGAAATTAGGCAAAGCAAGAACAGAAGCCTTTGTCATAGATATTTTGAGATAATCAAAGGCCCTCTGAGCCTCTGGAGACCACTGAAAAGCCCTCTTTTTCAACAAAGCAGTGAGAGGGTGGGCAATTGTAGCATAGCCTTTAACAAATCTGCGATAAAAGCTCGTCAATCCCAGGAAGCCACGCAAGCTCTTAAGAGAAGTGGGGGTTTGCCAATGCAGCATAGCTTGAATTTTGGCATGGTCAGGGGCCACAAAACCATAAGCAATCACATGACCCAAATAATCAACCTGAGACTGAGCAAAAGAGCACTTGGTGAGTTTCAGGTAGAACTGGTTATTGTGCAAAATATCAAACACCTGTCGGAGGTGAATAACATGTTGCTCAAGTGTGGAACTGTAAACGAGAATATCGTCGAAGAAGACAATGACAGTCTTGCGGAGGAGTGGCCAGAAGATGTCATTCATGGTGGCTTGGAAGGTTGCTAGGGCATTACAGAGACCGAAGGGCATGACACGATATTCATAATGGCCATCGTGAGTGCGAAATGCAGTCTTATGGACATCGGAAGGATGCAGCCTGATTTGATGAAAGCCAGATGTCAGGTCCAACTTAGAAAAACAGCGAGCAAGCCTCAATTCATCAAGTAATTCATCGATTGTTGGAAGAGGGAAGCGGTCCTTGATTGTGAGTGCGTTCAATGCCCTATAATCAACACACATGTGCCAAGACCCATCTTTCTTGCATAATAAAAGAACCGGTGATGAAAAAGGGCTTGTACTAGGGGAGATCCAGCCCGAATCCAACATCTTCGAAATCTGCTTTTCAATTTCTAGTTTATGCGCGTGAGGGTAGCGATAAGGACGGACGTTAACTGGGTTGGCACCGAAGGCGAGAGGAATGTGGTGATCTGTGGCCCGTGGAGGTGGTAAACTTGTTGGTTCGTCGAAGAGGAAGGAGTAAGATTTAAGTAGTTGATGAATATTATCATTTGGGTGATAGAGGGAAGGAGGAATGGAGGGGTCAGGAGGAGAAGATGAAACCTGTAGGGAGAAGAATTGGGCCTTATGATCAGAACGAAGAAGACGTTTAAGTTGGTGGAAAGAAATTGAAGGGCATGACACGGTATTCATAATGGCCATCGTGAGTGCATTAGTCTTATGGACATCGGAAGGATGCAACCTGATTTGATGAAAGCCAGATGTCAGGTCCAACTTAGAAAAACAGCGAGCAAGCCTCAATTCATCAAGTAATTCATCGATTGTTGGAAAAGGGAAGCGGTCCTTGATTTTGAGTGCGTTCAATGCCCTATAATCAACACACATGCGCCAAGACCCATCTTTCTTGCATAATAAAAGAACCGGTGATGAAAAAGGGCTTGTACTAGGAGACATCCAGCCCGAATCCAACATCTTCGAAATCTGCTTTTCAATTTCTAGTTTATGCGCGTGAGGGTAGCGATAAGGACGGACGTTAACTGGGTTGGCACCGGAGGCGAGAGGAATGTGGTGATCTGTGGCCCGTGGAGGTGGTAAACTTGTTGGTTCGTCGAAGAGGAAGGAGTAAGATTTAAGTAGTTGATGAATATTATCATTTGGGTGATAGAGGGAAGGAGGAATGGAGGGGTCAGGAGGAGAAGATGAAACCTGTAGGGAGAAGAATTGGGCCTCATGATCAGATCGAAGAAGACGTTTAAGTTGGTGGAAAGAAATTGAGGGGGGTTGTTGTCCCGAATTCCCTTTCAACTCAATCAACTGTTGGTGATAATAGAATTTCATACTGAGGTTCTGGTAGTCCATCAGAACTGGGCCTAAATCTTTTAGTCATTGGGCCCCAAGCACAATATCAGATCCACCACCCATGTCAAGGATATATAAGTCAACAATGTACTCTTGGCCCTGAATGTTTAAAGCTGCCCCAGGACAAAATTGATCACATGTTAATTTCTCTCCGCTACCTACAAGAACCTGCAGAGGAGTTGTGGAATGACGAGGCAACTCCAAAAGGAGAGCAACCTTAAGTTGGATGAAATTGTGAGTACTTCCCCCATCCACAAGTATACGCACTTGGTATTGGGCCAATAAGCCCAAAATACGAAGAGTCTCAGGATTGTCAGTCCCCGTGAGAGCATTGAGGCTTAATTGAGCTGAATCGGATGACAGATTCAACAATTTCTCAACATTCGGTGGATCCGATCCGATCCGGCACCCAAATCCCAGTCACTGTCACCATCCGGAGGTGAGGATTCATCCTCATCAGCGATCAAAAGAAAATAACGAGTAGGATACCGATGATTACGTGAAAACTTTTGGTCACAATTGAAGCATAACCCCTTTTCACGTTTTTCCACCATCTCTGCCTCTGTCAATTGCTTGAAACGTGTTTTTGGTGGAGGAGTGGGTAACAGAGGAGGTAGAGGTTTTGGCGATGGTGACGGAGAAGGAGGAGAGAATGTTCGTGAGACCGATGGAGCTAACCACCGAAGGGGTTGGGAGGTCCGATGGGTGCGGGAGCTATCAAGAAGCTTCTCCTCATGCAACCTTGCATAACCAATCGCTTGGGATAATGAACTGGGTTGATGTGCAATGACATCACGACGGAGCTCCGGTTTCAAGCCGGAGATGAAATAGCTCAAAAGGGAGGAGGGTTGCAAGCCCACAATACGATTTGCCAGAGACTCAAACTCAGTCAAGTAAGAAGTAACAGAAGAGGATTGAGTAAGTTTGAAAAGCTTACCACGAGGATCATCAAACGCTGTAGGGGCAAATCGGTTCTCCAGGGCTTGTAATAGTTGATTCCAAGATTGGATCTGGCTATTACGGTACATCCATTGAAACCACACAAGAGCCGGACCTTCCAAATAGAATGAAGCAACTGTGATACGTTCCTCCTCCAGTGTGTTGTGATAGTCAAAGAATTGGGTAATTTTGAAAATCCAACCTAGAGCATCGGTGTCGTCGAAGCGAGGAACATCGAGCTTGAGGAAGTGGCGTTGGGAAGAAGAGGAGTCGTGAGTGTGAAATGGAGGAGGAGAGGGAGGAGGGGAGGAGCTATGTTGTTCGAGGATGGAAAGGCGATGACCCACGTTCTGGAATTGGGTATTAACAGTGTCTTGAAAAAGGGAGAGTTGATGGAGCATTTCATCCAATTTCTCATATTGGGTTTTGGAACGGGTCCCGTCAGCCATGAGTGAGTTGTAATGAAAGCACCGATATTAGGAAAAGAAAGGTTGCATTGAGTTAGAGGACAGGCAACCTCCTAAAGAAAATAACAAGAAGAGAATTGAGGGTAAAAATATTCTCCCCTTTTCATTTCGTACCAACAGATATATAACAGAAGAGATTCTAACAATCAATATGCATGGTCCATGACCTCACTACGGACAATTCATAATAACTGACTTACTTCTAGAATATACTAACACATACAAATAAACATTTACTAATAATAAAAAAATCCTGGAATCCCTCTAGATTTGTGGATTTGTCTTTTGGGCCTGATATCCTCAATTTCTTCAGTATTAAGTGGGCCTTCATATGTAACATAGAAACCTTACGTAGGATGGATAAACATTTCTAAAGATGGTTCGTGTGGTTGCGATATTGTCTTGTTTTGCACTGGGTGTAGCATCTGATCTTGTGAGTTTCAAAAGTATATAACCTTAAAAGTGCATTGAAATTAACTAAACTGTATTTTTTAATTGAGTTTTTATTTTTCTTGATGTAACTTACTCTTTGATAATTCTACATGGTAGTATGAGAAAGAGATTCGTGCTTTGATTGATGTACTGGATAAAACAAAGGATTCTGTTAAGGATGTTATGATTTCAAATCTGGCAAAATCTGTAGACGCGGCTGTTAATGTATCAACTCAAGCCATCAACAATGCGCGTTCTGCTTCTGCTCTGAAGAGAAAGAAAAATGAAGGCTGACGTAGGAAGCTAATACTACTCAACTTACTCATGCATTATATAGTAAATTAAAAACTTAACTCCTACTTTGCTTGACCAATTGACCTTGATTGAGCTTGTGGGGCTTTTGACGCTTTTTGCATGGATTTCTGTTTCTTAATGTATTAATTTGAAACTTTCTGTGCTTCTCCCGTTTCTCTCATTTTAGCTGATGGTGTATTCCTTCAACTCTACCAATTCTTCATACATTTTTCTGTAAGTTCCCTAGTATTGTTAACAGGAGAAAGAAAGTTAAGCTTTAATATGTTTCAGATCATAACTATCATATGCGATTATATGATAAACCGGATCCTTTGTGCTCCTTGATCCAAGTTTATTGGTAAATCTTGAACAACCTCCATGTTCTTATTATTTTTCCCTGATGAAGTGGCCAAAAATCTATTGGGTAGAATTGATTGCTTTATTTATCAATTATTTTTTAAAATATTTATTAATTATTTGTATGGGGAAGGGATAAAATTACAAAATTAAGAGATTTATTAAATGAGACAATGAATGACTTGTTAGTATATGTTTTTTTTTTCTTCATAACAATTATGTAATATTGTTAATGATAACATTACAATTTATTATATATACCATTTCATTATATAACCAAATTAGCACCCCTTTATTAAATATATTAAGTTCTTATTTATTGTTCTTGTGTTTTTTTTTTTAGTTTTATTATTATGTTTTTATTTGACTTACTCGTTTTACAAGTAAAATACTAGACATATCAACGCACTTATTGAGCATCAACATTCATTTAATTCTAAACTTAATAAGAATTTTTTTTATTGAAAAGAGAATATAATTATATTAAAAGCTACGGGGAGAAAAGAACACATGATAGAAGTAAAAGAGGACACGAATCAAATATAAAGATATCAAAACATTAAGTTCAAATTTAACGAAGCTATCTATCACTTAACTTTATTTAAGGACATGATTTTTCGAGAATATTGTGATATTCATTTTTAGAATGAAACAGTTGTGCACTTTCATGAAATGTTGGATAGCCTACGTAACAATTCTATAATCATATTCAACGAATATATTTGAGAAACCTCTAGAGTAAATAATATTAATCCCTGCAGTAATGACGAAAATTAATTCAACATTGAAAACCATGATTTTCCTCAAAAGTTATTTAGAATAGAAGTTTTAAGGTTGTCATATGGAACATCCCCTACTGTAATACTCAATTCATTGACCATTACATCACAATTCAGTTTCATCTAACTTATCATATTTATCAACGGACGTCGATGAAACAGGGGGCACACATGATTTAAACGTAGAATTGATTTAGAGTTATTGGAGCATTTAGGATCCTCCAGTGTCTCCACATATAATAAACAAGGGGGTTTATATAGCTTGCTGTCAAATCAAGTAATTATACCTTCAACAAATCATGACTTTCATATTAAAAATTAATAATCATCATTTCATTATATTTCCTATTTTTTCATCCTATTTTGAATTCAGTAAAAATAATTTAGGTACTACACACACACACACAACTAACGTGGGTTTAAAAAATTGGATTTGATTGATGACAACAAAATTTAAAGGAGTGTTTGGTAACAAAACATTCATAAATGACATGATGGCAAAAAAAAAAAAAAAACTCGATCATGATATAAATCTAATTTGTAATATTAACTTGGATTAATCACACATATTATATCTTGAATAGGATTAGATAAGATTTTAAATAACAAAACTAAATAACGTGATATCAACTGCATAATGTCATATTTCTAATACCAAAACATGTCAATAAATAAATATAGATTTTGTTCAAGAAATAAATCCTCCAAAAAACAGTGTTCAAGAAGTAAATGATACTCAAACATTTATAGGACATAATATTCAACATAATAGATCTATTTTGTTATAGCTTTTGGTGTACAAGTTTCTATAGGGTAAGAGAAAGAACTTCTTCGAAGAACATGGATTAATTAATGCAGCGAAACAAAACAAAGCAAAGTGAAGGAAATTAAACAGATTTACGAGTCGCAAAGTAAATGGTTTGTTAGAATTAGTATAATAACTGAAGGATACATGTATGTAGTTCTCCCTGCATGCTTTCTTATACCCTATCAATACATGTTTTTGCAATCAAAGCTTTGATATGGTGTGGGAGAATTGATTTTTCATTTAAGGTGCTGAAGAAAATATAGCTGAATTAAGATAAGGTGAAGATAACATAAGATCCGAGAAACTTAGATCTTGTCTTTGGCATTATGATTTGTTGCAGCACATTCATGCCTAAGTCGAAACCAACACTGCCTCTTCCTCTCTTTGATTGTTTATTGGACAACATGATCTCCTCTAAGATCATCCCATGTCCCTCGAGGAAGCATGCAAGGAGAATTACACACATGTGATCATGTATCCTACCAATTGGTCATAACAGTACGTGCATAACTATAGATTTCCTAACTAATAATAACATGCAGCTTGATTGAGCTTGGCTTTCATTTGCCATCATTTGTATTATTGGTTAGACCATAAAGCCAAACTCAAAAATCTTCAAACCAAAAAGGAATTGCATATTCATAGTACATATAAGTAGTTATATTTAGCAAGAATTTGGATTCATAATTGTTTTATTTCAAGAGCTATTATCACATTATTACGAGCATAATATTAATACTTATGAACAGAGGTGTCAATGTATTTAGATCAGAAGAAGAATTTAATTTTGGCTGAAATAAGGGAATATTTTGCAGCATCATTACAAGGGGTGCCTAAGATTCAGGTTTACTCTTCTCTGTCGTCAAGTGAAGCAGAAAACTTGTGGATAGGGTTTCTAGGTGTGTGTGGTTCTCCATTTTCATCATCACCATCTTCATCCCCTGTTCAAGTTTACTCTTCTCCATCATCAAGTGAAGCAGAAAACTTGTGGATAGGATTTGTAGGTGTGTGTGGTTCTCCATTTTCATCATCACCACCATCTTCATCCCCTGTCTCTTCAGGAATTGTTGGCGGGGGAGATGAGAAGTCCAAGTACATTCCCTGGATAGCATCCTCATCAGACTCACAGAGATCTTGAGAAGCAAGTTGGTGATACTCCACAAGCTGATGAAGGCATTGATTTTCTCTGACCAGATTTGCATTTTCATTGGCCAATCTGGACTTCTCAGCCAAAAGTGCTTCCAGCTGAAGCCTCACCTGCAGCCACCAACCACTAAGATCAGTTTGTGCCATGCATATAATTTCTAACTATATATTCTATAGCTTAAATTTACTTTAAACTAGAAAATCAATTAAACAAGTGAGAATTAAAAAATTGACTTTCAATAAAATTCAACAATAAACAATAATAAAGTGTGTTCCAAAGAGTGTGTACTAGCATTTCTCATTTTCTAATTTATCATGGTACAGACATGATTATATGATAGATCCTTACCAGGTCATCTTCTTCGGGTCTAACTCCTTTTGTAAATCCATCACGCAGTCTCCTGTTCTCCTCTTCAAGCAAACCGCACCTTTCTTGCATAAAACACAAATCTGATTTAATGGACTTCAATTCTCTTGCCAGTGAAGCTGCTTTCGTTGCCATTGAAACTGCAAGCTGCAGTGCGCCAATAAATAAACAATTAGCTGGTAATTTCAGCAAACCAACTCACTATTATTTAATAAAAAGAAACACTAACATTTTTTGCTTTCTTGATGTTCCTATCCATCACTTTTTTCCCATCCTCCTTTTGTGTGTCAACAGCATTTTCTTCAGAGTAATCAACATGGTCAAGTTTCCTTTTCATTCCTTGGTTTGACTCCTCTTTCTGTTTCTCTCCGGAATCCTCTTTGTTTTCCACCGTATCATTTTTGCTGTGAAATATGTCAGTTAATGTGGGTGGATTCGCCAATTCTCTAGCACCCTGTGGAGAAAATAAAAAAATCAGCTCGAACTTTGATAACAAGGGATCCTGATTTCATTGTAGTAACTGGCAAATAATTAATTGCCATTGTCACTTACAATCAAAGCACAACCAAATAGGAGTGACTCAATTTGGATCTAGTTAAGATCTCAATTTCGAATCACATGATTTAAAAAATAAATGGAAAGAAAAATAGAGAAGTTAATTTCTCTATTGGTCATAGATAAAATTGTTAGATCCTTTGCATGAATAATATAGTAACCAAAGTAAGCCTCTTGTGCAAATTAACAGATGCATGCAAACCTGAAGCGCATTGTCCAAATTATTAGACAACAGAGACAGAGTGTGGGCAACTGAATCAAACCCCCTCATCAGCAACATACAATCTTCCTTGGATCGGTTGTTTACTTCTACATTCTACACAAATAAAACAGAAAAAGAAAATCCCGCCAATTCAATTTTTAGAGAATCCAATCAAAAATTGAAAAAGACTTGGACTGTACAAGGTAGCAGTGATCACTAACCTTAGGGGAGTGAGATGAAGTTCTGGGTTGACGAGCATCGAGAAGCGTGTCGACCCTGTTCCTGAGAGTGCTCCAGAAACGTTGATCAGAGGAAGGGCTAAACAGAGGAGAAGAAGAACCCATAATACGTGTGCCCTCCTATCACCACAACAACAAAACAACCCTTCAGAAACAATACACGAAAGTTAGCAACTTTAGAGGTTAAGAGAGAGGAGAAACCTGGTTTGGATCGAGACAGAGCGGGGAAGAAGGTGTTTCCAAGGAGGTTGTCATTGGAAGGGATAGTTTGAAAAGGGTAATTGAGAAAGCTGAGCTCAACGGCTAGTTTGAAAAGGGCATTTGGAAAAGAGTAATATGAAGATTTTATTTAAATAGATTGAATGGATGTTTTAATTTTAACCGTTAGGAAATGGAAATATTTAGGTTGGATTGAATTTTTTATTTTTTATTAGAAGGATAAAGTGTGACAGCTTTCAATGAGTGGGTATGTCTTATTGACCTTCCTCACATCACATAGCAAGGTTATTATATTGAATTTAATTTATAGTTGTTAATATAGTGTTGAAATTGGAATAAAAAATAAAAAAAATTATAAAGTTAAAATATTATTAAATTTGATTTGGTTTAAATTTTAAATTAAAATAGAATCAAACTATTTATTATATTTAATATAATATTATATATTTAAAATTAATTATTAATTAATAAACATATATAATTATATTTCTTAAACATTTATATATATATATATATATATATATATATATATTTTTAAATATAATAGAAATTTTAGATTGTAACCATTGTTTAATTTATTCATATATTCAAGAAAAATTAAAAATAATTATAATTATATATATATTTTTATATTTAAAAATTTATTATAAAATATTTAAAAAAAAATAAAATATTATTTAACAACTTAATAATGATAAAATATCTAAATCAAATAATAATTTAGTTTAATTTGTATTTTACATTATTTAATTTTAATGATTATTTGTTAAAAATTGATACTTTATAAAGTTTATACAGAGAATACATTGGAGTACTTCCTTTTTTTCTAATCATATATATAGAAAAATGAATGGGATTTAAAAAAAAGTAAAAATAGGTTTAATTCTTCTTTTACATTATGAAAGTATTCGAAAATTTAAGAATATGTTTTATTTATATTTTTTATAATTTAAAAAAAAATTGAAAAAATAATTTTTTTAAAATTAAGTTTCTTATAATTTAGATTTAAAATTAATTTTGAAAAATATGACACTAAACGTTATAAAAAAATTAAAATATAATTTAAAAATAACTTTAATAATTTTATAATAACAAACACGAAAATAACATTTTTTTATATAATTTTTAAAAACTATAAAATTAAAACAGTAAAAACTATTTTAATAAAATATTTTTGAATTAATTATAAAAAATAAAAAGCAAAACATTTATAACTCTTTACAAATTTAATTTTTAGAAAATATATTCTAAAAACTATAATCTAAAATGTTTGCTTATTAAAAAATGCATTTCAAAAATCAAATTTAAAAATATAAAAAAAATTATATATTGATAACCGATTATTAACGACGTCAAAATAATAATAATATGATAATATATACAGGTCATATATATACAATGGATAGTGAACTAAAATAAAATCCTCAAATGCTACAATGTTACACTTTAAATGATAAAGGGCCATGACTAGTTTTGGGCTTACATAGGGTCAATAGGTGAAAACTATAGGATGAGGCCCAATATATAGGTGTATTAGGAGGCCTAATAGGTCCATTAGTTCAGATTGTAGTGTGATGGATTGTAATGTCAAATGGGGTTTGGATCAACTTCTGACAACTTAAATACAAAAAAAAATAAACAATTTAAAATAGTTTAGCAATTCAGTGATTTTTTTTTTAAAGTAAAGCTAATTTATAATTACAGATAACCATTAAATTATTTTTGGAAAATAAAGAACTAGTTTTATAAGAAACTACTAAAATTCTAAAGAATAAAAACGTGATGAAATTTTTTTTCAAAATAATTTTTTTTAAGAAATCCTTTATCAGAAACAATATATTGTATAAATGATTAATGAAAAGGAACAACGAAGGTTTATTATTTAATTATTTTTTAATAAAATAGTAAACTGAACATTTATTTTCTATTTACTGAATTCTTATCTTTATTTTTTTCTCTTTTGTCAAATTATTCTTTAATATATATGATTGATTTTGTGTTAAATCAAGTCAAAATCAAATTCATAAATTGTATTCAAATTAAATTTACTTTTGAATTTATTATTGTTTTTCCAACAATCTAAAATTCTAAACATCAATCACTTTCACGATAAACCAGTTTCTTTTTTAAAAAAAAAGTGGCCTTCTTTTCTAAGTATTAGGATTTATTCTCTTCCACCAGTACCATTAACCCTTCTAGTTGTGAACTTCTTTTATTGGCACTAGGAAAAGTGTTTTTTTTTCTTATATATATATATATTATTATTATTAAAGTAAAACTAGGAGGAACCCTATACAATATTCTTTCAATGTACTATTTGATTAGTTGATATCATTAAGTAGAATATGATATTTGCAAAACTTTATAGCTCTAATTATTTTCAATTAATAAAAATACAGAATTTTTATTTTTTTATTTTTAATCTATTTGTACTCATCATTTTATTTTTATTGACCACATTTCTCTCCTCTTATAAGATAATTGATTGGTCAGAGCATGAAATGACACTTGGCTCTTTATGGATAAAAAGATGATGAAATTTCATGGGAAATAAGAGAGAGAGGACGTGAAGAATAACCATTTTTTGAATATTAGAAATGTAACTTTTAATTGATGTGTCAAAATTGGATTGGAAGCCATAAAAAGAAAGAATAATACTCTTAGCCGTTGGAGTGATTTGAGAGAGTGGAAATGAGAGAGTGGAAAAGGAGGGATTTGAAGAGAAATGGAAATGATTAAAAAGTGAAGGGAAAGTTTATGGGAAATTATGAATGATTTGATTGATATGAGATATAAAAATTATAATTTTATGTTGATTATTTAAGAAAATTACCATTTTACTCTTTGCATGGGTGTTGTGCATTAAAGGAACCTCCTAGATATGTAGGCTAATCCAAATAAATAATAAAAATATTAAAAGAAACATATTAAAAACATTTGTTTTTTAAATATAATGTTATATATTTATAATTACTAAATATATATAAATATTTTTTTTTAAACTGTGTTTATAATATAATTATTTTATACTTATAATATATTTATACTAATTAAAACATGATAACAAATGTCTTTTGTAATTTTTTTTAACTATAATATTGAAATTTATTTATGAATATGAGAAAAAATGAAGTAAAAATATGACAATAAATATAAAAGTTATAACAAATATTTTGTTAAATAAATATTTAATAAATTTATACTAATAAAATTTATAAATATCGATTATAAATTAAGATTCAGTCTCGGGTTGCATTTCGCTCGAGCGACTATATCTCGCTCGAGCGAAAAACGATCCTGATCGATCATAATTTGAAATGATCGATCATAATTTGAGGATATAATAGCGGTTCCTCTGCAATCGCTATCTAAAGTGTATATTAGATAGCGGTTCCAGTGGAACCGCTATCATATACAACCATATTTTAATTTCTTCGAGTCTCGGGTTGTGTTTCAGCTCGAGCGACCATATCTCGCTCGAGCGAAAACGATCCTGATCGATCATAATTTGAAATGATCGATCATAATTTGAGCATATAATAGCGGTTCCTCATGAATCGCTTATCTAAAGTGTATATTAGATAGCGGTTCCAGTGGAACCGCTATCATATACAACCATATTCTTCAGTCTCGGGTTGTGTTTAGCTCGAGCGACTATATCTCGCTCGAGCGAAAAACGAACCTGATCGATTAGATTTAAGAAATGATCGATCATAATTGGAGGATATAATAGTGGTTCCTCTGTAACCGCTATCTAAAGTGATATATAATAGCGGTTAAGATTTAACCGCTATTAGAAGTGATATATAATAGCGGTTAAGTTTTAACCGCTATTACAAGTGCTATTATAATAGCGGTTAACATTTAACCGCTATCATATGGAACAGACTTTCGTCGCTTTTCTTCGCAGATTAGCGAAGAAAGTCTCTCTCCCCTCTCCCCCTTTTCCTCGCCTGCATTTCTTCGCAAATCTGTTCAATCAAACGTGGGTGAATCTCATGTTTTTGTCTTCGTGAACAGTATTTCCTCGCAAATCAGTTCAAACAAACACATCGTTAGTCTTTCACACACTTTGACAATTTTTTGTTTGTAAGAACAATGATTGTGAGTTTGGACTCGTGCACGAGTAATCTTGGTACAATGATCTAGGATAGGGAAATGGTGACATAAATAATAATTAACATAAATTTGTAAATATTTCTTAAAATAAATTATTTAATTATTATAAATATATCTCTTATAAAAAAATGCAATGAATAATTGAATAAAGACAATTTATATTTAAACTTTAATTATATATTACTATAATATAAAGAATTGGTCCGATGAAACAAATCATTAATGTTGGGATTTTATTTTAGTATAATTATATCCATGAATTTAATCTGAGAGATCATCTAATTGGGATTTTAAAAGTGTTTTTCAAACTTTTAGGATTCCATCATAAAAAAATTACACGATAAAAACAACTTTGTGGTATTCAATTGAGATTTTAAAATATTAAAAAATTGATATTGAAAATGATACAAAATTCAACAAATGATTTTGTTGATTAGATTTTTATAAATTTTTCGAGATTTTCTATATGTATGTATTGATAAATAATTTTACTCAAGTATTTCACTTTTTTTTTTTTACTCTCGATCAATACAATTTTTTCCTCCAATATCAAATGCTTTCTATATCTAAGTAATTGTTTTCCGCTTTTTTAGTTTGAGTTCTAGCATTTTACAAAAAAATTTAGATTATTGTTATTATTATATATTATTTTTTATAAAATTTTCATATTTAATATAATTAAAATATTTTACTTAATTTTTATATAATACTAATTATTTTATTAAATTTTAATTATTATTATAAAAATCATTAATTTATAATATGTATTATTAAGTAATATATATATATATATATATATATATATGTTATTAAGTAATATATATTAATATATATTATTTTAATTAAAAAATATATGATTTTATAAAAGATTATAATTAATCATGTGTATGACAATAATTGTTAGATTAATAATAATT